TGAATTCTCTTCAGTACCAGGAGATATTGGATGGAAACGTGATGCAGTCCGTCACACACCTGAGGCTTGGGAGACGTTGGACCTTTCAAACAGGACAATGATCCCAAGCATACCTCCAAGTCCACTAGAGCATGGTTGCAGAGGAAAGGCTGGAACATTTTGGAGTGGCCATCGCAGTCACCAGACTTAAATCCGATTGAGAACCTCTGGTGGGACTTAAAGAAAGCAGTTGCAGTGCGCAAGCCTAAGAATGTGACTGAACTGGAGGCCTTTGCCCCATGAAGAATGGGCGAAGATACCCGTAGATCGCTGCAAGACACTTTGTGCAAGCTATGCTTCACGTTTAAAAAGCCTGTTATTAACTGTAAAAGGATGCTGTACTAAGTACTAAGATTGAATGTCACTTGGGGTTGAATAAAACTGATAATGCTGTGAGCACAGAAAAGACATTTGTGGTTATTTCATTATAACTGTTATGTTATATTTGTCTGACCTACAAGTGCCTCTTTAATGTAAATGTAAGCAAGATGACTGAATGATCAAAAGCAATGTCAAACTGGCCAAAACACTCAATTTCAGTGGGGTTGAATAATTTTGGACACAACTGTATGTATTTTGTAGTTTAATAACGCTATGTATGTTTTTTGCAGCTCTTGAGAGGTTGGGAATAGTTATGTCTGGATGTGTAATAAAGAAGAAAGGTCGCCAGCACATAAGCCTCTATCTTGTGCTGAACGTCCCCTGGCCTGTAGGCCCTGTGGTCCAGGGTGGGCCCTGATTCTACAGAGTAAAGGCTCTAAGATCAAAATGAAGATCAGGGGTGTCTAGTGCCATTGCTCAGCAAGAATGGGAAGATAAGGCTTCATTAGCTCTTACAGTCGCTGTTGGGTGTGAATAAATTCCGTCCACCCATTTGCACATATGTTCTCCCAGACCGATATATCTCAAAGTACATCTAAGAGCCAGTTGACCCGATCAGAAGCCCTTTCCACATCCGCTGACAGCAGTAGGGTGGGGATGTCTCTAGAACAGGCCAAATGAATCAGGTTTAGAGCTCTGGTGGTGCTTTCCCTCACCTCCCTATTGGGAATAAAGCCCACTTGGTCATTTTAGGTCAGTGTGGGCAAGTACGATATAAGCCTATTAGCTAGGATCTTTGTGAAGACCTTGAGGTCTTCATTTAACAAGGAGATATGATAATTTGCACAGTCCAAACCATCCCTGCCCTCCTTGGGAATCAAGACCATGTTCGCGGCAAGGGTGGATGTGGGGCAAGGCCTCTCCGTCCAACAGGGAATTACAGGACTTCATCACCAATCTAAAGTTAGGTCCATATATATTTGGACACGGGCACAAGTTTTTTTTTCAGGTATTTTACCAAAACCTATTCAAGCTGTAGTTATATAATGGATGTGGGCTGAAAGTGCACTACTCCTTCATTATTTCTTCATCAATTAACCACTTCCCGACCGGACCGTTGTATATAAACGGCCGGACGGTGGCAGTGCAGGGTCGGGTGGCCGTTTTATAAACGGCCTCCCCGAACCCTGCTTGTGCGCGCTCCCTGGGGAGCACGCAGCACCACAATTCCGGTGCCCGCTGTGTCCTCCGGACACAGTGAACCACCGATTGTCGGACGGGACCTCTGTACGAGGTCCCGATCATGTGATCACTGATTGGCCAATCAGTGATCACATGCAAAGTAGTAAGCAAGATGTCACTTGTGACATCATTGCTTACTACGTGTGAAATCTGTGAATGATCACAGAGGTCACATGGTACAAGGCTATTCACAACAGCCTTGTACCATGTGACAAGCTGTGACCAATCACAGCTCACTCAGTACTTCTCAATGACTTCAAGAATGCAGACAGAGAGAAAGAGAAATGATTGCTTTTTCATCCTATATGGGGTGTAAAAACAATCAGTGTAAAAAAAAAATAAAATAAAATGTTTACATACTGCTAGGGCGACAGTATGTAAAAAAAAAAATAAAATAAAAAATAATATAAAAAAATAAACAGTTTGGTACATTCTCAGGAAAGAACACACTGGTGAGCTCAGCAACATAAAAAGGCATGGAAGTCCACAGAAGACAACAGTGGTAGATGATTGCAGGGTCCTCTCTATGGAAAAGAAAAACCCATCCACAACATTCAGACAAGTGAAGAACACTCTCCAGGAGGTGGGTGTATCATTGTCAAAGTTTACAATCAAGAGAAGACTTCACGACAGCAAATACAGAGGGTTCATCTCAAGGTGCAAACCATTCAGAAGCCTGAAGAATAGAAAAGCCAGATTAGGCTTTGCCAAAAAACATCTGGCAAAAAAAAAAAAAAAAAAAAAAAACCAGACCAGTTGTGGAAAAACATATTGTTTTTGGTATCCTGAATAGCTCGGGCCAGTTGCCTCCCAGGTTTACCTACAAATTCATAGTAGTGTCTCTGGGAATACATCAATTATGGTTTTGCCTTCATGAGAAGGATAGAGTTTAGGTTGTCTCTTAGGAGTTTAAGGTCAACAGCCGTGTATGGATATTTTTTACATGGTTACAGTGGTCCATCTTGCATATACTATACCTGGCCAATGGCCCTGGAAAGTGGAAATCACTGAAGTAAACATTGTTACTGCCAGATGCTGGTCTGCTTTATTCTGAACACAGGAGGTCAGCCATTTTGCAGGGACACCATTCAGAGAATGATTCACATTTTTTAAGTGAATGCAAAGCGTTTATTTGATTGGGCGAAGTGGAGAGTATGACATCACTGGCTTGTCTCTGCACCTCATCCAGTAATGGAACTCTTTTGCATTCATTCAGAAAATGCAACACTTTATCTAAAAGGCATCCATGCTGAGCTGCCAACATCTGGTGTTCAGATTGCTGCAGGGCAGCCCTTCAGCATCAGAGGTCATTTAAAATAGTTGTCTACTACAGTGATTTCCAGCTTCCAGGGTCATAATAGGTGTGGTATATGCAAGCTGGACCAATGTACAGTATCTCACTGAAGTGAGTACACCCCTCACATTTTTGTAAGTATTTTATTTTATCTTTTCATGTGACACTACTGAAGAAATGACACTTTCCTGCAATGTAAAGTAGTCGGTGTACAGCTTGCATAACAGTGTAAATTTGCTGCCCCCTCAAAATAAGCCATTCATGTCTAAACCACTGGCAACAAACGTTAGTACACCCCTAAGTGAAAATGTCCAAATTGGGCCCAAAGTGTCAATATTGTGTGTGGCCACCATTATTTTCCAGCACTGCCTTAACCCTCTTTGACATGGAGTTCACCAGAGCTTCACAGGTTGCCACTGGAGTCCTCTTCCACTCCTCCATGACGACATCATGGAGCTAGTGGATGTTGGAGACCTTGCGCCCCTCCACCTTCTATTTGAGGATGCCCCACAGATGCTCAATAGGGTTTAGGTCTGGAGACATGCTTAGCCAGTATATCACCTTCACCCTCAGCTTCTTTAGCAAGGCAGTGGTTGTCTTGGAGGTGTTTGGTGTCATTATCATGTTTGAATACTGCCCTGCAGCCCAGTCTCTGAGGAGAGGGGATCATGCTTCTGCTTCAGTATGTCACAGTACATGTTGCATTCATGGTTGCCTCAATGAACTGTAGCTCCCCAGTGCCGGCAGCACTCATGCAGCCCCAGACCATGACACTCCCACCAGCATGTTGGACTGTAGGCAAGGCACACTTGTCTTTGTACTCCTCACCTGGTTGCCGCCACACACACTTGACACCATCTGAACCAAATAAGTTTATCTTGGTCTCATCAGACCACAGGACATGGTTCCAGTAATCCATGTCCTTAGTCTGCTTGTCTTCAGCAAACTGTTTGCGGGCTTTCTTGTGCACCATCTTTAGAAGAGGCTTCCTTCTGGGATGACAGCCATGCAGACCAATTTGATGCAGCGTATGGTCTGAGCACTGACAGGCAGACCCCCACCCCTTCAACCTCTGCAGCAATGCTGGCAGCACTCATACATCTATTTTCCAAAGACAACCTCTGGATATGACGCTGAGCACGTACACTCAACATCCTTGGTTGACCATGGTGAGGCCTGTTCTGAGTTGAAGCTATCCTGTTAAACCACTGTATGGTCTTGGCCACCGTGCTGCAGCTCAGTTTCATGGTCTTGGCAATCTTCTTATAGACTAGGCCATCTTTTTATGTAGAGCAACAATTCTTTTTTTCAGATCCTTGGAGAGTTCTGTGCCATGAGGTGCCATGTTGAACTTCCAGTGACCAGTATGAGAGAGTGATAACACCAAATCTAACACACCTGCTCCTTATTCATACCTGAGACCTTGTAACACTGAGTCACATGACACCGGGGAACAAAAGTGCCTAATTGGGCCCAATTTGGACATTTTCACTTAGGGGTGTTCTCACATTTGTTGCCAGCGGTTTAGACCTTAATGGCTGTGTTGAGTTATTTTGAGGGGACAGAAAATTTACTTGGTTATACAAGCTGTACACTCACTACTTTACATTGTAGCAATGTGTCACTTCTTCAGTGTTGTCACATGAAGAGATATAATAAAATATTTACAAAAATGTGAGGGGTGTACTCACTTCTGTGAGCTACTGTAACTGTATACCTGGAATTCTTCTTTAAGTCTTAGAGCAGACTCCACAACGTGGCTGCTGCTACTTTTTAATCAATCAGAAAGCCTCTTCTGTTGTCCTCTCTGACTTGCTTTCACTTTGCTTCATGGCTGAAACCTGCCATCCAGCTATGCAATGGGGCTTCCTCATTGGCCAGAAGAAGACAGGTGTTGACATCTAGTAGGCATCTTGTGGTTTGTGCTCTTCAGTAATTGAGTTCAGTTTTCTTTGATATTCAGTTTAAAAAGCAAAGGGAAAAAGTTGCCAGCTTTGTTTGCTGGTATTCTTTATCGCTAAATTCTTTTCAGGAGAAGTTAACATCCGAACTCCTTCTTTTTTTTTTTTTTTTTTTTATTACTACTTTTTATCATATTAATCAGTTTGGCTTTAAAAAATGGAAAAGTCACGTAACCGCACGCCCATGGGAAGATCGATCTGAAATTGTAAAAGAACTCTACTCTGACCTGAAGGTGGTGAAAACTGCAGTCAGTAAGTTGATCATCGTCCTTTCTTTCATTTTAGTTGGGTAATGTGCTGTATGTCAGGGAAGGAGGGGTGAAGCAAAAGTAAGCTATTGTATTGCAGACGTTTACTATGGTTTAGGGCAGGGCTCTCCAAACTGTGGCCCATGGGCTGAATGTGGCCCTTTTTTTTTTTTCCCAGCCTTTATCTGGCTCGTGGGCACTACTCCTCCCATTGATGCACGGCACTCTTCCTCTCACTGACACCAACAATGAGACCCCTCCTTTGGCTGGCAACAACAGTGGGATGCTATTCCTCCCACTAATATTAGCAACAGCGCACTATTCCTGTCACTAATACCAATAATGAGATTCTTCCTCCTACTAACCACAGACGTTGGGTAATTTTTTATTTTTTTTTTACACTTATTGTTTTACTCCCAAGAATAACATTTTCTACCCTCACCGCCCCCCCCCCCCCCCCCTAAATTCTGAAGGAAAGTAAACTTGTATAGAAAGTTTGGAAACCCCTGGTTCAGGGTAGGTGTTGATTTACAAAGTTATGTAATCTTAAGCCATTGCTAGTACTTCGCAAACTCATTGCAAATATTGCCAGGAGTCTAGGAGCTATAGCTTAATATAGTGGAATATTTCTCTAGATTGTAAACTTACTGTACAAGTAGTAATATTTTACTGAATCCCCAAGATGAAAAAATACGTGAAAATACTTTTCATTTTTTTCATTATTTCATTTACTTTTCTCCAAAGAAAACTTTTGGTACAAAATCCTTCCCCTTTCCCTGCTTTATGAATATATTCTGTGGCCTGTAACTTAGCTAGAGTGGTTTGGAGTCCATCCCAAGCGCTATTTAAAGTACCCTTTTGTTTGGCAGTGGTGCCATATATTTAAACTATGCAGCCTATAAAATGCTCTCTGGTACAGAATCTATGCTCCAGTGTGCCCCCTAAGATCTAGTTCTTTCACCATAGGGCACATACCGAAGGTTAGGCCTGGCTGTTCAGTCACAGTTTGCTTGTAAAAGAGACCCCCACCCTTGTGATAGTCTTGTTTTGCTGCTCTGTTCATGTCAGTGGCCAGGGATGTGGTTACAGATGGAGATTGGGGTTTAGCTGAAGTTTTATATAACTCTAGCCCATGTTTGGTCTGCAAAAGTACTTTGAGGAAAGGAGGGGTAGTTATTAAACAGCTGATGAAACCTATTTTAAAAGGTTCTTATGTTTTACATGCTTGCTAATAGAAATGTTTTATTCAATAAAAATTTTTTTTTTTTTAAATAAAAACCTTTTTCTATTCCCTTCTTTATTTTCACAGCCTCGCAAATAAGCATTGGCAACATACTTTATGTACTTCTCTTTGGATGGTGGATCGCTCTGCTTTACCTTTTGGTATCTGTCCTTATGTTTCTCTCCATACTAGGATCCCCTTATGGTATGTTTCAATTTGGTAATATGGCTACAATCACCTCATACAGTTTGTCTACATTTATTATTATTATACAGTATTTATATAGCGCCAATGGGTATGCTCAGCGCTGTACAGTAGCAGGGGGGACAGAACATGAGACAAGACAGTTACAATACACGAGGGGTTTGAGGGCATTGCTCTTTTGAGCTTACAATCTAGGAGGGAGGGGAAGGTGGCACAGTAGGAGTTTGCTGTGGGGGATGGAGTGGCGGGAGGAGTGGAGGAGGTCAGTTGTTAGGTGAGGTCAGGTGTTAGGTGAAGTTGGGGTAGGCTTTCCTGAAGAGGAGGGTTTTCAGGGTGCGCCTGAAGGTGAGGAGGGTAGGCGACAGTCTGATGGATTGGGGTAGGGAGTTCCAGAAGATGTGGGAAGTCCTGGAGAAGTCCTGCAATCGAGCATGGGAGGAGGAGACCAGGGAGCTAGAGAGTAGCAGGTCCTGTGAGGAACGGAGGGCACGGGTAGGGTAGTATTTTGGTATCAGGTCAGTTATGTAGATTGGGGCGGCATTGTGAATGGCTTTGTAGGTCAGAGTTAGCAGTTTTAATTTGATGCGTTGGGCAATCGGGAGCCAATGAAGGGATTGGCAGAGGGGGGAGGCAGATGTGGAGCGGTTGGTGAGGTGGATGAGTCTAACCGCTAAGTTTAGGATCGACTGGAGTGGGGATAGCGCTCGTTTGGGTAGGCCAGTGAGAAGGGAATTGCAATAGTCCAGGCGTGAGATGAGGGAGTGTACGAGTTGTTTGGTGGTGTCTGGCGTGAGGAACGTGCGTATCTTGGAGATGTTGCGGAGGTGGAGCCTGCAAGATCTAGATAGCAGTTGGATGTGGGGTAGGAAGGAGAGGTGGGAGTCCAGGGTGACACCCAGGACTTTGGCGTGTGGGGTGGGAGAGATGGTGGCGTTGTTAGTAGTGATGGAGAAGATGGGGGGGGCACGGGGTGGGGGGGGAAGACCAGGAGCTCGGTTTTGGATAGGTTAAGTTTGAGGAAATGGAGCGACATCCAGTCTGATATGTCGTTTAGGAGGTGGGCGATGCGGGCAGAGAATGAGGGGGTGAGGTGGGGGGTGGAGAGGTAAATTTGGGTGTCGTTGGCATAGAGGTGGTAGTTGAAGCCGTGGGAGTGAATAAGTTTGCCAAGGGAGGAGGTATATAGATGGAGAAGAGTAGGGACCCGAGGACAGAGCCTTCGGGACCCCAACAGACAGGGGGAGGTGGCAGTGTTGTAGGTGACGCTGAAGGAGCATTGGGAAAGGTAGGAGGCGAACCAGGAGAGATCAGCGTCCTTGATGCCAAGGGAGTGCAGTTTGGCAAGGAGGAGAGGGTGGTCAACAGTGTCGAAGGCCGCGGAGAGGTTGAGGAGCAGGAGGATAGAATAGTGGCCATTGGCTTTGGCGGTTAGCAGGTCGTTGGTGATTTTAAGTAGGGCGGTTTCGGTGGAGTGCAGGGGACGGAAGCCAGACTGTAGGGGGTCAAGGAGGTTGTTATCAGTGAGGTGGGCGCTTAGGCGATTGTAGGCCAGGTGCTCAAGGAGCTTGGAAATGAAGGGCAACAAGGAGATGGGTCTAAGGTTGTTAAGGTTAGTGGGGTCAAGGGAGGGTTTTTTTTGAGTATGGGGGTGATGTGTGCGTGCTTTAGAGGGGAGGGGAAGGTGCCAGTGGAGAGGGAGAGATTGAAGATATGGGTGAGGGAGCGAATGATGGAGGGGGGGGGGGTGACTGGAGGAGCTGTGAGGGGAAAGGGTCCAGGGGGCAGGTGGTGAGGCGGGCTACAGTGAAGACCTTAGCAACCTCCTCGGGAGTAGTTGGGCTGAAGGAGCGGAGTGTTGGGGAGGTGATGATCTGTGGGGCATTAGGTATAGTGGGGAGTAGTGCGGCTATGAGGTCGGGGGAGGGGACAATTGAGGGGTTAAAGGAGGGCGGGAGGCTGGGTGGAGAGGTGGATTGTGAGTTGACAATGTCCTTACGGATTGCGTCAATCTTGTTTTGGAAGTGATTGGCAATCTCGTGGGCGTGAGTGAGGTGGTGGGGGGGAGAGAGCAGGGATTTGAAAGTGGAGAAGAGCTGACGAGGACAGGTGCAGAGAGGGTGTTGATAAGGGTTATGAAATAGGCTTGCTTGGCGGCGTGGAGGGAGGTGGTGTAGGCGAGGTAGGCGGCTTTATGAGGGATAACGCACTAGGGGATCTGGTTTTGCACCATAAGCCATTAGTGTGGCTCCCTCCCTAATTCTAAAATGCTTAGAAGAAAATATGTAATTTTTTATTGATTAGCTGTTGATTTATACTGTGGGTGTACGGTGCTCAAAATGAAGGTGTGCTGCGCATATATATGTATGTATGTATGTATGTATGTATGTATGTATGTCCTCTCTTGGATTGCAAAATTACCAAGTTTTTTTACTGAAACCTAGGGAGGGCTAAGATTATGCATACAGTTACACAGTCTGTTTTGAGAGTTACACAAGTTACAAGGTCAAAACCCCTTAATGTCCTCTGTTTTAACTACTTGACCCCATGGCATTTTTTCTGTTCGGCACTATTCTCATTTAACTGGCAATTGTTCTGTCATGTAAGACTGCACCCAAATAAAATTTTATATCTTTTTTTTTTTTTTTTTTTTTTTTTTTTTTTTTTTTTCACACAAATAGAGCTTTTTTTTGGTGGTATTTGCTAACCACTTTTTTTTTTTTTTTTTTATTGCATAGATGAAAAAATAAACTTTTGGTAAAAGTTATATTTTCTTGTTCTAAAATCTATCCAATAAATCAATTTCTTCATATATTTAGGCCAAAACTTATTCTGCTACATGTCTTTGGTTTAAAAAAAAAAAAAAAATTCCAATAAGTGTTTGATTGGTTTGTGTGAAAGTTATAGCATCTACAAACTATGATGTGTGTGAGATATATATATATTTATTTATTTAATATGTATACTGGAATTTTACATGGCTCTAGACCCTATACTGGTAATGGCGGTGATCAGTGTGACTGTGATAGTGTGGTAGGCAATCTGGCGTTAACAGACACTGGCTGGGAAGGAAATGAACTGACACTGAAATTGCTAGTGACACTAATAGTGATTGGAGATGATACTGTACTAATGACAGAGTGCACAACCGCCCTAGTATACAGTAACTCCATTTATTAAATTTAAAACCATAAGACAATTGCACTCACATGATATGGTCATGAACAAGGCACTGAAAAGAAATGTCCTCCTCAGCTTCTCCCAGACTGACAGCATAGGATGTGTAGCATGCAAGTATGGTGACCGCTCTCCTGGATAGACAGATCCTGCGGCATCCGGGCAGAACGCGCTGCCGCTATTGCGCATGTGCCTGGGCCAGCCTGCGCATGCTCCATGTATATGTCTCGATACTCAGAGGGGAAGGGAGGAGGGAATTTCAACATGGTTGCTATGATGATGCATTTTGGAGGCATGGCCTCTTTTGTCAAGTCATGCCCACCTGCGTCACCCGGAATCTTATACAGTGCTCAGCATAAACGAGTACACATCTTTTTTGAAAAGTAAGATTTTAATCAGTATCTCGATGAACACAAGAACAATTTCCAAAATGTTGACAAAAACTAATTTTTTTTTTTTTTTTGTTTTTTTTATAGAACATTTGTATAGCTGATTACATGAAAGGAAGGTTAATAATATAACTTATATTTATATATATATATATATAATGGCCAAAATTGTAGCATTTCAAATATATGGCAATATATTTGTGAAGAATATTAGAATATTTTTTAAATATATGTCAAATATATTTTTTTCCATGTGGGTTATGCCACACTGCCTACTAAATGTCTCTAATTCTAGCACTACACTGTAACAGTAGAGCAGAATTGTAAAGCATTTTATGATTCTGCAGAGTTTGACAGTATATTTCACTTCATATGCAGGTGTGCTTTGTTGGAGGCTTGCAGGATTCTTTATTTGGCCATTTGGAAAAGTGATCCTAGAGGTAAGCCAGTACCATGGAACCTAAGGCAGTGTTAGACCTTAATACCTACCATTGCTCCTGTGCCTGGCTACTTACTAATGCATTCAATCTTGCTGTATTTTATGCTTTGTGATAGACATACACAAGTTGCATTCCTTTAAATAATTGAAATAACTCCTAGTAATCTAATGTCCAAGATTATATGCGACTGCTTATTGTGAATTCACATTACAGTCAGAAATCCAAATGTGTTAAATTCCACCACTGTTTTTGGATTGTGGAACTAATAGATGTCAAATTTGTGTGTTTTTTTTTAATCTGTATAGTAAGTTAGTAATTTCCTTAGACTCCTATAGTGGTGATTTGATTCTAGCAGGGATTCGGCTGTGTGACTTTTTCCAGAGCTTGCAATTGATAATAAAATAACACATTTTACTCAGAACAGGCATTGGCAGTGTGTGTTCTGCACCGTGCCGCAGAAAAGGGCCTTCCCCGAATTGTTGCCACAAGGTTGGAAATACACAATTATCTAAAATGTCTGTGCTGTAGTACTAACACTTCCCTTCACTGGAAACACCTTTAACTAGGGCAGCACAGTGGCTAAATTGTTAGCACTTCCGCCTGGCAGTACTAGGGTCATTGGTTCAAATTACAACCAGAGCACCACCTGCCTGGAGTTTGCATGTTCACCTTGTGCCTGCGTGGGTTTCCTCTGGGTACTCCGGTTTCCTCCCACACACCAAAGACATGCTGGCAGGTTAATTGGATCCTGTCTAACACTCAGTCCCTTGAAGGTTAGAGACTGATGTGAATGTGCAATATATATGTAAAGCGCTGTGTAAATTGCCGTCTCTATATAAGTACCTATAATAAACTCAGTTTTGAAGATCAATGTACTTATTTGCCAACACCCTTTCGGTATGCTGGCAGATATGTACATTGATCTGTGAAGTTTCTGTTCTCCAGCTGGCTATTGTTGCAGCACCCGCTATTCCATATCCTACTCCAGGAACATGTGTGTTGGGAATATTGAGTCAATCATTTTAATGTGTTTCCCCATAATTTTTCTCTATGTACTGTAATACACTGCTTTTAAAAGTGTAGATTTTTTTTTCTAACATGATGTTTAATATTCCCAGAGTGGCACAAAGCATAACAGAAAATGCTGTGTGAGATTCACGAACTGTGATGCCATACCAGAGGTGGATGAGCAGGAGAAAACTCCCCTCATAGAGAATTGTGAGAATGTACATTCAGATTTCCAGGGACTTGAGGTCCGATACTGGGTAAGTAAGCCTTTCAATTTGCCTCTTTTCAGCAGAGACCACCTTGAGCAAATCATTATCATTCACTCCTGTACTTTCTAATCTTGTGAATGCTTCCAGCTATATATAATTAATGCATACATGGTCAGAATAAGGCTTCATTCATACAGGCACTGGCAGCAGTACTGCATGACTAAGGCATTTGTTTTCATGCCTGCACCAACTCCAAGCTGCCTGCTGGCAGCTTATGGAAGTGGATGCAGATACAGCAGCTGCATGGACAGCCACAGGTCAAAAAATTGACGGGCTGCACATCTGTTTTGTTCACACCTGCCAAATTGACATGCAGCTGTGTCTGAGCAGCCGTTGCTTCTGCATGCACCTTGCAGTAGATGCAAGTGCAAAAACCATTTCTTCATTTATGCATGGTATGGATGCTAGTGCCTGTCTAAATGAGGCCTTTTCCTAGCAAGACAATTGATAAATGTCTTTTATCCAGTGCATGAGACCATTATAGAGTGTCGGCAACAGAAGATCAGCACAAAAAGTAGTCCTAACAGTAGAATATTTCCCTGCAGGCACATAAAAAAAGTAAAATTTCACTTTTGTTGGGAGTATATGCTTTCAATGTAATTGCCTTTTCATAGAATTCAATACAGATTCTTACCTTGTCCAGGCAGAGTGCTAATGTGGAGGTTCTGTCTTAAATCATTGTGCAGCCAGATCAGATGGTGTAAAGAGCTGAATCTGCATCTTGACATTTCTGCAGACATGTACAGTCTACATAAAGCTAAGATGTGGAATGGTTGATGCCGTTGAGGCTACATTTGTACAGGCTTTTTGCCATGGTGCAAATGGCAGTCGCAGGAATCTAGTGATTCCTACTACTGTTTTTGACAGGAGTTCGCACAGCCACCGGTTATTCATGTCTGTCACAGCTAGCGATTTATCTGTGACAATTGCTGCTGGAAACGCTTGTGTGTGTGTGTGTGTGTGTGTGTGTGTGTCCAGCTGCGATTACTGCAGGGCTGTGCGTACAACCACATAAACAGCTGCTGCCAGTGAGATGTCATTGCAGTGTAAGGGCTCAGCAGTCACAGCTGGGTGCTCACACCTGCTAAAAATGGCAGCAGGAGTCACTATATTCCTGTCAATTCCATTTGCGTCACATCAAAACACCTGTGCTAATGTAGCCTAATGCAGGCCATAGACGGTTCGTTTATCAGCCGGTTTTTTTTTTTTTTTTTTTTTGTCCGAAAGAATATCGGCCCATTTTTGCATTGTTAGTGGGGCAACGGCATTGGCCAATTTTCGCGGTTCCTCCTCATTTTGTTTATCGGTCATGCTGGAAAATCCGTGAAAAACGGACGCAATCATTGGTGGCAACATCGGTTTACAGAACGAACGATGTTTTGTTTTTCAGACGAAAAATCGGCTGATAAACGAATCGTCTATGGCCTGCATAAGAGTCTTATCACCCACACAGTCCAGAAGTTTGGAGTGGGGTGGGTCAAATGGCTACACCTGGGTAATAATGGAATTATGGTCAGATATGTGCATGTTTACCATTTACAATTTTAAATCTGAGTGTAAAATGTGATTTGTATAAACGGTCTTGACGTTACTGTGTTTTTTGTTTTTTTTTCTTTTTTTAGTGGCGAATCAGCACTTATGTGTGGCTCTTGGTAGGATTTCCATTACTTGCAGTAGTCCATGGGTTAGCATGCATCATATCTTGGCTTCTAGTCTTCTTCATTCCAATCTTCAAGATGAATGCCAGGATTCTATTTAAGGTGTTGTTGATGCCTCCAGAACATGTACACATCCGAGGGACCAAAAAGGTAGGAAGCCCAGTGGCATACCTAGCATATCTGGCACCCGGGTTCAGCCATTTTTCAAAACCCACACACAAATAACTAAAGGCGTAAAACAGCACGCACAGGTCACCTTCACAAATAATGGGTGTGGAATAATTGGACTAAGAGTGGGAGGGGCTTAAAGGGCCATGGTTAAATAAAACCTGCGTCTACTCACTTTGTACATTTATACACGAGTACTGTGGCATGTGTGTGCTATGTATAGAGAGCAGTGAACATACAGGTCACTGCACAGAGCGCAACCAAAAATTACTCCCCTGCTGCCAGTACAAATCTTCCTCCTCGAAGCCCATAGTCCCTATGGTACAGGCCCCAACCAACGGCTCCAATCCCCCTCTCCCTCCCCCAGTACAGATCATTCAACCCCCCTCTCCCCAAAACACCACCTCTGTACAGTCTCCCTCTTCAGTGCAGATCTCCTTACCAGATGCATGTAGTTTAGTGCAAGGGGCACCTCCCCTTGGCTCTGAACTGTCTCTGTCAGACAGGCAGAAGTGGTGCCGCAGTGTCTGATACTAGAACTACATTGCCACTTCTGTCTGTGAGAGGCAGGTTACACAGTGCTACAAAACTTTGCTTTTTTTTGGTTGGGGGGGGGTGAATTTTGAAAAATACTTTGTACAGGCAAGTATAGTTTTGACTTTTCTATGAACTATACATTTGATACCTGTCCCTGCATTTTCTGAAAGGTTCCAATATGTGGTTTCCTTTCCTGTTGATAACAAGTTGAGTTTGAAGCTATTTGGCATATAGTCTTTTGGCTCTCTGTGTACATTCTACTGTACTCTGAAAATTTTGCTTCTGGAGTGAGATGGCTATTTTTGCAGCCCAAAGGAGAGCCAGTCTATCTCTAAATTATACCATCTAGTAATGGCAGGAAGCAACTTGTTCACACCAGAGCAGCATGTTGCTGGTGAACATTTTACCCTCATTTCCTGTTTGATTAAACCATTGTTGCAAGACACAAGATGAAGGGAAATAATGGATAGGGCCGAAACGCAGAAAAAAAAACCTGTCTAGCACACTAATCCATCCCTACTCTAAGTTTTGGCTGGACGTACTATACAATTACAAACAATTCTTCCGGTTGGCTGTTCTTGGTGCTCACCTAGGAGCATTTATTACTCTATTGGAAATTGGATTTTGGTATAACTTAGGAACTCTCTCTTGAACTTTCTCACTTGTGATTTGCAAAATCCTTCTTTGCAGAACTGGAAAAGTAGACCTGAAACTATGCATACAAAAATGGATTGAATTTTAAATACTTTCTTGCTATAGTATAGGCAAACGCCACCCATTCTGATCCATGGTATGTGTGTACAAGGATCCATGCAAAGAAAAAACGCTCTTTCTAGTCAGGATTTTTCTACAATCCTCATCTAAGATTTTATTTATTTTTTTTTTTTGTATAAATATTTTATTAGGTTTTTCTGTTTGAAATCGTACATACAGTAAAAACATACTTTCTTGTAATTCAGTTCTATTATTGACCAATACATAAACAAAACTAATTTTTTTTTTCCCTCCCCATACTCAACCCTGCCACCCCCCCCCCCCCCCCCCCCCCCCCTCTCCTTTCCCTCTCCTTTGCCACTCTACATCCTTCATCTCTTGGAAGTCCTAAGGATTTCATCTTCTTTCAGGTATTTTAACTCTAATTCTCTAAGTTCTACAAATTGACTTGATCTCTTAAAATCCTCCCATTTTTCCCATCTTTTACGAAAGCTCTCCATTCTATCTTCATCTATATGATAATGTTCCTCCATTTTATATATCTGGTCCACCTTTTCTACCCAATCTTTTATTTTTGGTGCCTCCTTTTTCCTTCCAGAATCTGGGTATCAAACCTTTTGCTGCATTTATAAAATACAGCAAACAAGAATTTTATATTTTTTATACTGTAAGCTCAGTGCCACAAAAAAGACAGACTCCTGGGTCTTTTGGGATTTTAATCTCAGTTATGTTCTGCCTCTGGTGAATTACTCCCTCCCAATATTCCTGAATTGTAGAACATTCCCACCAGATGTGTCCCATTGTGCCCCTTTCCCCACATCCACGCCAACACAAAGGTGAATTTTTCTCTACATTGTCTATGTGCTATACTCAGTGTAATATACCACCTCGCCAAACATTTATAATTCATTTCCACCTCCTTCATATTTACATTCCCATGTGTTAATCTATAAATCTTCTTTTGCTTTTCCTCATCTGTTATTACTCCCAATTCCCTTTCCCATTTCTTCATATATGGAGGGATCGTGACCGTTGTCAATCTAGTGCAAATTTGATATATTATAGAAGTCCCATGTTTCCCCTCTCCACGTGTATTAAGTAAATGTTCAAATGGATTCCATTCATCTTTTGTTCTTGGAGGCCTGGGGAGCTTTGCTATGAAATGTTTTAATTGAAAGTAGCACCACTCATCCAATCTAGTGAACAACTCATTCTTATTTTTCAATTCAAAAAATGGACAAATTTCTTCATCCTTCATTATATCTCTTAATTGTGCATCTTCCTTTTTTATCCACTTCCCTTCAATATTTTCATTCCCTGGCGGGAATAAATCTGTGTCCACTATGGGCATCAACTTGGAGTTAAATTCCCATCTCATTTGTTTGTGCACTGTATCACAAATTTTGAATACATTTCGTTTATATATACTTGTACTATCTACCAATCCACGATACTGAGGTGGTAACCATATTATTCTACTCAATTGTGTCTTACTTGGTGTATTTTCAGTTTTTATGCAACTTTTCCCACGTGCGTTATGTGTCCAATCAAAAATTTGTGCTAACATTACTGAATTATAATATCTTTTAAAATCTGGTACACCCAGTCCTCCATTCTCTTCATCTCTACTTAGAACTTCATAACTTATTTTAGGTTTTTTATTTCCCCCCAAATATACCTTGTTAACATTTTTTTAATTATTCTTAAATACATTCCTGGAAGCTTTATAGGCATATGAAATTTATACAAAATTTTGGGAACAATTACCATTTTTAGCAAATGTATTCGCCCTATTCATGATAGAACTCCTATCCCTAGTTTCCATATTTCATCCTTGAGCTCATTTATTAATGGGATATAGTTTTGCTCTATATAAGTCCTTTGAGGATA